GGATTGCAACTAGACCCAGAAAGAGTCTTTGGTTGTTTGCAAAAAGAAAGCTCTCATGCGTCGACTTGGTCTTGCTCACCATCACGTTTCGACAGACGACGAGTGCAGATTACAAAAAAAACAACAAAACAAAACAACAAAAAAAAAAACAAAACACTGCCGCCCTCGTCAGGATCTTAAAACTCACGCCAGCACAGCAGAACATGATTTGATAAATAAAAGGGATATGCTGTTTGTTATATGATCAGAAACAGTGCAAAAAAAAAGTAAACAACTCTGCAGGAACTCTCAACGGTTGACTTATATTTCTGTTTCTGTAACCCAAAATTAAAATGACATCTTTTAAAGCCTGTTCCAAGTGAAGCCAATTGAGTAACTGAGTAAAGTTGTGCTTTTTTTCTCTCTCTTCTTCAAACCCACTATATTGTGCTTTTCCCTGTTGAAAACTACACAAGAAATCACGTGAAAACTTCTTTTAGGCAGGACTGTACATCAAAAGTCACATAAACCAAAGCCTTATCGGATCTTTGAGTTTATTAAGTTAAAACTTCTCAAATATTTGGATCAAGGCGGACACGAGAAAATAATAATGTCAATAATAACAATGATAATAATAAAAAAAAGACTCCATCTTGGGTTGTGTTTTTTGTTGTTGTTTGTTTTTAAATGAACTTTGGAAGATCTCAGAGTCCATTATAGTGAGGTCCCCACCGCTTATTGATGTGATCGAAGGTGTGAGAAACCCACTGCTGCTCCAACACTCGATATCTCTCTTCACATAAGAAAAGCGGCTTGCCGCGGCTGGAGGAGACGAAACRAAAACAGAAAAACAAAAAGTCAGAGGGGCGCTTGTGTTGTTGTAATTTACATGTGGGTCAAATTTCAATCTTTATTCTAATCTTATTGCAACAGTACAGTAATTTTTTTAAGCCTTTTTATTATGTATTGTTTTAATATACTACACGTGTTTAATGTTATATTGAGATAACTTGAAATGTTTTAGAATATGATGCAATGGATAAAATGTGGATACAAGTAAACTGATGTCTAAAAGAAGAATAGTGGAGGTGAAGTCTAAACACATTTAAAAAAGATTTGAAAAGTTTTAAAGGCAGCAGACCATCGACAGACAATTATTAAAACATTAAGTTGTTTTCAATCTCAGTTATGTCTGTAAGTAATGCAGACRTGCTGTAATGCCGTAAAACTAAGAAAACAAATATTGTAACATCAATTAAATTTTGTACGAACAAAAAAAAACTTTTCATGTTAGTCACACTATAACGTTTTAGACAACTTATGAAAAATTTTGTCCAACACTGAAGATGGACTTTATATATATA